TGAATACTGCAACGCGTATTGATCAGTAAACGTTCTTAAAACTCTAGAAAATCAAATCCTAATGAGAACTAATCCAACTAGAATATGTTGACCGTGCAACCAACTGATTTTTAGGCATTAATAATGAGCCCAAAACATATATATACCTGAAGAAAGTTTGCCCCAAAAGTAAGCTTCTCTGCGTTCTGTAACTTATCTAGCATCTTTAGTACCATGACTTGAAGAATATCAGCCTCAAAGTCTGGGTCCATTGAGTCAAGGCAAATGTCCAGTTTAGCTTCGGTTAAAGAAGCGACATCAACTAAAGTACAAGGTAACTCAAGAGTTTGTCAACCTGAGAAAATGGATATGTGGTGCCATAATCTGTGTTGGCCCCGGAACCCAAAGGTTGCGGTTTACTTGTAATGTTCTCAGTTGCAGTGACTTACTAAGATCAAGAACCATCAGTTCATCGCAGTAATACAATGTTAAGCTTTCGAGAACCGGACAACCAGATAGAATCTTAGCCATGGATTCATCAGGGTTTTAACAGCAACTCAAGGACAACGTCTTCAGTGATGTCCAAGACACAGGGCATATGGGAACCATCGTATCACAAAAGCTTAATATAAGGGTGAGTTGCTTGACAGAGGAATTGCTGTAGAAGAAATCAGGAATCTTATATATATTATGGGAACAAGGCCACAAGAAATCGAGGGAGAGATTCTCAACGTTGCGAGCTATGGCGAACTCGATCCACTTGTCACTGTGGGGAATATTCTGCTCGATTCTGGCTCTGAGGTCAAAACTCATAATCTTTGGAGCAATGTAGCGAGTTAGGGTTTGGTTTATGGAAAGTGTACGCCATACATGCCTCCCTCGTTTATAGTTATCAGCATCAAGGGAGAGACAAGGTGTACCGCACCAGACGTGCCTCCATCGTTTGGACAAGACGGAAGTTGTGATGGCGAGTTTGATCGGAATAAAGCAGAGTATATGTTGGAGGATCTCATCTGGTAAAGGACTGATTAAATCATGTTTGATTTTGCCGTCGTCGGCCATCTCAATTTACAATTTTATTAGGGCTCATCTTTTTTTTTTTGCTAAAAGTATTAGGGCTCATCTTGTGAAACAGCTTTTTATATATATATATTGTAGGGAAATTAAATTAGGGTATATAACCGAAATCCCTACCCAAACTAAGCAAGTAACTAGAAAATATTATTAAGTTTCATTTTCCATTCGATTTCTATACATAAATAAGTAAATCATTCAAAAATAGGAAAAATTGAAAGCAGGAAACCAAATATTACTCACTTGTAGTAATATCAAAATAACAGATCGCAATAAGGTACGTTCCACAACAGTAATTCAGGTAGCAGAGTTTCTCTTTCTCTCTGTTTTAAAGTCTGGTTCCAAAACAAAAACTTCTGTCCGTATTTATCATCGAGATTTTGTTCATTGCTGCATCAATACAAAGCCAATGCTCTGCCGAAACTTGGACAAAAGGCGTGGTTTAGGCACTTTTTCTTTTCCTTTCAAGAAAAATATTACAAGAAATAATAATGTTATCTCGTATTTGAAGAGTTTGGTTTGAAAAAAACAATACAAGAATATTACTTGATTAACATTACTTTTTAACTAGTCCTACAAATAAAGAAATGTCCTCATGATGATCTAGTGTCCATTTTAAATGAGGATCATTGTAATAAAATGTTCAAATAAGACTCAAGACTAAACCCTATGATTCACCACCACTCATCTAATGTCTTCGGCTTGGTTGAGAAGACAATGGAGACATTGTTGTTGTGAGAAAGTGTTCGAACCAGCTCTTTAAACCCTCTTGCTTCAAGATAACAATCTTCCAACCGTGCATAAGAAAATTTGTCCACACGGACAGGCCCAATTGGTCGCGGGCAAGCCCAATTGACAGCTCTACCTCGAAGCACATGCTCAGCTTAGCTTCGGTTAAAGACGAGGCATCAACGAAAGCACATGGTGATTGAGAGTTTCTCAATCTGAGACAATGGGTATGTGGTGCCACAATATCCATTGGCTCTGGAACCCAAAAGTTGCGGACAAGTTGTAATGTTCTGAGACGCATCGATTTGTTGAGATCAAGAACTGTCAATTTATGGCAAAAATACAATGTTAAGCATTCGAGAATAGGACAACTAGAAAGAATCTTAGCAATGGATTCATCAGAGAGAGTACTCCAACGCAAGGAAAACTTCTTGAGTGATGTCCAAGACATAGAGCATTTAGGAATCATCATATCAGTAAAGTATACCTCAACGGAGAGTTGCTTGAGAGAGGAATTGATGTAGAAGAAATCAGGAAAATTATACTTATTCCTATAGAAAAGAAATAGCAGAGACAGATTCTCCACGTTGCGGGACATGGCCAACTCTAACCACGTGTTGATGTGGGGAGTATTGAGGATGCAGCCGGTTTGGAGGTGTAAACTCGTCATCTTGGGAGCAGTGTAGCGATTCTGGGTGCTGTAATACGAAGCAGCCTTCAGTGTACCGCCATGGAAGGAAAGAGATGGTATATCGCACCATACGTGCCTCCATCGTTTAGACAAGAGGGATGTTGTGATGGCGAGTTCGGTCGGAATAAAAGTGATATGTTGGAGGATCACATCTGGTAGTGTGCTGATTGAGTCTACTCCTCCTCTGATTTTGCTGTCGTCGGCCATCGCAACTTGCGGTTTTCTTAGGGTTTACCTTGTGAAACACCATTTTATATTCTCTCAATAAGTGTCGTTTCGATACTTTTCCCACAAATTAAAAAAAAAAAAAACTGTAATAAAAATTCATTAGCCCTATGAAAGAAATTGACATTTGACATTCTTTATTAGATTTGAGATTAAATTCGTTTTTCTATGTAGATTTTTTTTCTACGTAGATTTTGAAAAGAAATTAAAAGATATAAACCAAACAAAGCAGAAGTTACTAATGGGTTTTAACTTTTAAGTTTTTAAAAAGGTTTCAGTTTCCATTCGATTTCTATACCTAATAAATCAAAAACGCAAAGTAGGAAAAATTCAAACCAGAGAACCAAATATTAGAGAACCGAATATTACGAACTCTCACTTGTAGCAAAATCAAAATAACAGATCGCAAAGCAATACGTACGTTCCAACAACAGTTGCGTACAAAAGAAGGTACTAGAGTTTTTCTCCTCATTGTTTTCAGTCTTTGGTTCCCAAACAAAGCCTTTCTTGTCTCTGCTTTTACCTGATGGTTCAATCCAAAAAACAGTCATTGGAAAGGCTTCTTTCTACCTACTTCGTGCCGGATTCCACCACAGTAGCAGAAACCACAGTGTCAGTGTCCAGTTTGGTCCTTTTCCTTGGTTGTAGAGCTTCTTCAGTCACCACCGGAGTTTCTTCTTCAGGGTCAGTACTCGCAGAGTTTTCAGTAGACTCTGGCTCAG